TGAAATGGTATACAGAATACCACACACAGGACACAATGAAATGATATACAGAATACCAACACACAGGACACAATGAAATGGTATACAGAATACCAACATACAGGACACAATGAAATGGTATACAGAATACCACCACACAGGACACAATGAAATGGTATACAGAATACCACCACACAGGACACAATGAAATGGTATACAGAATACACACACACAGGACACAATGAAATGATCTACAAAATACCACCACACAGGACACAATGAAATGGTATACAGAATACCACCACACAGGCCACAATGAAATGGTATACAGAATACCAACACACAGGACACAATGAAATGATATACAGAATACCGACACACAGGACACAACAAAATGGTATACAGAATACCACCAGACAGGCCACATTGAAATGGTATACAGAATACCAACACACAGGACACAATGAAATGATATACAGAATACCAACACACAGGACACAATGAAATGGTATACAGAATACCAACATACAGGACACAATGAAATGGTATACAGAATACCACCACACAGGACACAATGAAATGGTAAACAGAATACCACCACACAGGACACAATGAAATGGTATACAGAATAGGACACAATGAAATGGTATACAGAATACCGACACACAGGACACAATGAAATGGTATACAGAATACCACCACAAAGGACACAATGAAATGGTATACAGAATACCAACACACAGGACACAATGAAATGTTATACAAAAGACCACCAAACAGGACACAATGAAATGGTATACAGAATACCGACACACAGGACAAAATGAAATGGTATACAAAATACCACCACAAAGGACACCATGAAATGGTATACAGAATACCTGAATACCACCACACAGGACACAATGAAATGGTATACAGAATACCAACACACAGGACACAATGAAATGGTATACAGAATACCACCACACAGGACACAATGAAATGGTATACAGAATACCAACACACAGGACACAATGAAATGGTATACAAAATACCACCAAACAGGACACAATGAAATGGTATACAGAATACCACCACACAGGACACAATGAAATGGTATACAGAATACCAACACACAGGACACAATAAAATGGTATACAGAATACCAACACAGGAAATGATGAAATGGTATACAGAATACCAACACACAGGGCACAATGAAAAGGTATACAAAATACCACCAAACAGGACACAATGAAATGGTATACAGAATACCACCACAAAAGACACAATGAAATGGTATACAGAATACCAACACATAGGACACAATGAAATGGTATACAAAATACCACCAAACAGGACACAATGAAATGGTATACAGAATACCAACACAGGACACAATGAAATGGTATACAGAATACCACACACAGGACACAATGAAATGGTATACAGAATACCACACACAGGACACAATGAAATGGTATACAGAATACCACACACAGGACACAATGAAATGGTATACAGAATACAACACACAGGACACAATGAAATGGTATACAGAATACCCACACACAGGACACAATGAAATGATCTACAAAATACCACCACACAGGACACAATGAAATGGTATACAGAATACCACCACACAGGACACAATGAAATGGTATACAGAATACCGACACACAGGACACGATGAAATGATATACAGAATACCAACACACAGGACACAATGAAATGGTATACAGAATACCAACACACAGGACACAATGAAATGGTATACAGAATACCGACACACAGGACACAATGAAATGGTATACAGAATACCACCACAAAAGACACAATGAAATGGTATACAGAATACCAACACACAGGACACAATGAAATGGTATACAGAATACCACACACAGGACACAATGAAATGGTATACAGAATACCACACACAGGACACAATGAAATGGTATACAGAATACCACACACAGGACACAATGAAATGGTATACAGAATACCAACACACAGGACACAATGAAATGGTATACAGAATACCACACACACAGGACACAATGAAATGGTATACAGAATACCACACACAGGACACAATGAAATGGTATACAGAATACCACACACAGGACACAATGAAATGGTATACAGAATACCACACACAGGACACAATGAAATGGTATACAGAATACCACACAGACACAAGGAAATGATATACAGAATACCACCACAAAGGACACGATCAAATGGTATACTGAATAACAATACACGGGACACAATGAAATGATATACAGAATACCACCAATCAGGCCACAATGAATGATATACAGAATACCGACACACAGGACACAATGAAATGGTATACAGAATACAACCAAAAGAGGACACAATGAAATGGTATACAGAATACCACCACTCAGGCCACAATGAAATGATATACAGAATATCGACACACAGGACACGATGAAATGGTATACAGAATACCACCACACAGAACACAAGGAAATGGTATACAGAATACCACCACACAGGCCACAATGAAATGGTATACAGAATACCAACACACAGGACACAATGAAATGATATACAGAATACCGACACACAGGACACAACGAAATGGTATACAGAATACCACCACACAGGACACAATGAAATGGTATACAGAATACCAACACACAGGACACAATGAAATGAACGACAAAATCCCACCACACAGGAACAAAGGAAATGGTATACAGAATACCACCACACACAATGAAATGACACAACACACAGGACACAATGAAATGGTATACAGAATACCACACACAGGACACAATGAAATGGTATACAGAATACCACACACACAGGACACAATGAAATGATCTACAAAATACCACCAAACAGGACACAATGAAATGGTATACAGAATACCGACACACAGGACAAAATGAAATGGTATACAAAATACCACCACAAAGGACACCATGAAATGGTATACAGAATACCTACGCTCAGAACACGATGAAATGGTATACAGAATACCGACACACAGGACACGATGAAATAGTATACAAAAGACCAACACACAGGACACAATGAAATGGTATACAGAATACCAACACACAGGACACAATGAAATGGTATACAGAATACCGACACACCGAACACAATGAAATGGTATACAGAATACCGACACACAGGACACAATGAAATGGTATACAGAATACCCACACACAGGACACGATGAAATGGTATACAGAATACCAACATACAGGACACAATGAAATGGTATACAGAATACCGATACACCGAACACAATGAAATGGTATACAGAATACCACCACAAAAGACACAATGAAATGGTATACAGAATACCAACACACAGGACACAATGAAATGGTATACAAAATACCACCAAACAGGACACAATGAAATGGTATACAGAATACACAACACACAGGATACACACACATGAAATGGTATACAGAATACCAACACACAGGACACAATGAAATGGTATACAGAATACCACACACAGGACACAATGAAATGGTATACAGAATACCACACACAGGACACAATGAAATGGTATACAGAATACCAACACACAGGACACAATGAAATGGTATACAGAATACCAACACACAGGACACAATGAAATGGTATACAGAATACCACACACAGGACACAATGAAATGGTATACAGAATACCACACACAGGACACAATGAAATGGTATACAGAATACCACACACACACACAGACACAATGAAATGGTATACAGAATACCACACACAGGACACAATGAAATGGTATACAGAATACCACCACACAGGACACAATGAAATGGTATACAGAATACCACACACAGGACACAATGAAATGGTATACAGAATACCACACACAGGACACAATGAAATGGTATACAGAATACCACACACAGGACACAATGAAATGGTATACAGAATACCAACACACAGGACACAATGAAATGGTATACAGAATACCACACACAGGACACAATGAAATGGTATACAGAATACCACACACAGGACACAATGAAATGGTATACAGAATACCACACACAGGACACAATGACACAGGACACACACAGAAATGAATACAGAATACCACACACAGGACACAATGAAATGGTATACAGAATACTACCACAAAAGACACAATGAAATGGTATACTGAATACCAACACACAGGACACAATGAAATGGTATACAGAATACCGACACACAGGACACAATGAAATGGTATACAGAATACCGACACATAGGACACAATGAAATGATATACAGAATACCGACATACAGGACACGATGAAATGGTATACAGAATACCACCACACAGGACACAATGAAAAGGTATACAGAATACGACACACAGGACACAATGAAATGGTATACAGAATACCAACACACAGGACACAATGAAATGATATACAGAATACCAACACACAGGACACAATGAAATGATATACAGAATACCAACACACAGGACACAATGAAATGGTATACAGAATACCAACACACAGGACACAATGAAATGGTATACAGAATACCGACACACAGGACACAATGAAATGGTATACAGAATACCACCATACAAGACACAATGAAATGGTGTACAGAATACCAACACACAGGACACAATGAAATGGTATACAGAATACCAACACACAGGACACGATGAAATGGTATACAGAATACCACCATACAAGACACAATGAAATGGTGTACAGAATACCAACACACAGGACACGATGAAATGCGGTCTACACTGTACATGTAGTCTGGTGTAATGCATTTTTAGTGGCATCATTTTAACACATAGGATACTAATACTACACAGAGATTTACATACATATTAATTTACTGATCTGATCTGATCACATTAACAACGAAGTCACCAATCCTGTTTAAAACAGAAACACATCGAGTACTTGACAGCATGTGCCTTCAAAAGATTACCGAAAGTGAAACAAAGATACGAAACTGCGGCCTACTTCCGTTTGAACGACGTGTGAATGAAATGTGTCGTGTCACCGGTGTTTGGGCGTGTTTACTCCGGTGTTAAGCTTGGTAGGAGTTGATAGTTGCACTGTGAAGGGAAAAGTCGCAAAAAAAGTAAAAATCACGCTACATATTTTGCTTTGAACAAAGAAATGGCGCTACAAGGTACCGGGAGATTGTTGAAGAGTTTAACAGTGAGTCATGGTAAGAAAATATACAATCGTTTAATAGTTTTGGTCAGACGTTCAACTTCAAGCTTTAGTAAAAACTGGAACTGTATAATTAAAATTCATCGCTCGTGGTTTTTTGTTCATTTTTTATTTTATAGCTATTATTTCAGATATTTCCAACGCCTTGGAATAGATATAAAGCACTCAGACAGTTGTCGGCTACTGTACATCTACAGTAATTTGCATAAATCTGAGGAATTCTGAATGTACACCCAACAGTCGAAAGGTTCCGAAAAGTGATGGCAAATATTAATGGTGAAGAAAATGCAGACTGTCACTGGCATTTTATAAATGTTATCAAATTTTGTAAGTTCTTGATTTCTTCTTCAAGTTGATCAGATTGAAAATTTTCTTTGCTCAGGTTCAAAAATATCAGCCATGTGTTCACAGACAAGATTGTACTCTGGTTCACCTAAAAGGGTAAGTTGAATTATACTGTAGGTGCATAATAGTCAAACATGTGTAACAGAGGTCATTATTTATTCCAATGCCTCCACAAGGAACTACTTACTAGTCTGATGCTCAACCTATCAAGCTAAAGATAAGTTCTCTCTATCCGAGTAGTATATTGCAGCTAGTATTTTACCAGTGTTACATACTCTCCCTTCAAGAAATAACTTGTCCTCGAGTTTCCAGGGATTACAGCGATGCTGGTGGGGCATGGCTAAGTTCTATTTCCAGGTCTCTATGTGGGCGCCAATGGAAGAGTGGTCATTATTTATTTCAATGCTTCCTCTAGGAATCAAACCCGGGACCCCTGGCTTACTAGTCTGACATCCAACCAATTGAGCTAAAGAGAAGCTCTCTCTAGCCGAGTGGTATGATGCGGCTAGTGTTTTACCAGGGTTACACATTAGATTGTAATCGATCGTCGACCAATTATTGCACTAATAAGCACCTTTGGTTGATACAGAAGGAACTGTATGTATCATAGTATAACATGGACCACAGACATATTGTTTATATAGAGCCTATACAGTACTGTAACAGGAGCAGAAAAATGCGCGACCAGACCGAAATTCTAACCCGAGACCTTCCAAACTCTAGACTGATGCTCTACAGGCTACTGAGCTAATTGGTCATCGGCAATCGACCCCATTCTGTTCTGTTACATTCCTCTCTCCTTAATTTTAGTATTTGCCCCAAAGACATCACATCTAACAACCCAGGTTTGGGTATCCCCTTGTTAAACATTCACGTACTGCTTGAAACAAGGTTTCGTTACGGCACCAAATGTAACAAGAGTGGAAAAATGCACAGCCAGACCAGAGTTTGAACCTTCCGAACTCTAGACGGATGCTCTACCTACTGAGCTGACTGATCGACCCCGTCCAGTTCGGCTACAGTACAACTTCATTTCATATCATGTTTACCACATTTCAGTATTTTCAAATCGGCACTTAAAATAATTACTTTTCCGTAAAATCATCAGCAAATGCTATGTTGATAACACGGAATGTTTGTCTTGTAGAAACATTGGTTGTATTTGTGGTTGAACTACAACAAACTTTTATCATGTACCATCAAAAGAATGGAGTAAACTGCAAAAAATTATATAAATGTCACATGGTTTTATTTTATGAACATAAGTTAGGCTAATACTAATAGATTTCACTGTTATTTTTTTGTTTTGTAACTTAATTGACGACATTTTTTTTTTTTTATATTTATTTTGTTTTTCAAACATTTTTGCATTACATAATAAGAATACCTTTCATACACCATTCACATTATATACATCTTTTCGGTTACATGTACATCTTTATTACCAACAGCATCTTCACCCATACACCACCCTTGTCATTTTCATACACAACATACCGGTAACATAATATCAACATCTTCCTCACAATCACCTTGAAATACTATCATGATCATCATGATCATCATCGTCGTCGTCGTCATCGTCGTCATTTCATCATCAATTCATCATCATCATCATCATCATCATCATCATCATCATCATCATCATCATCATCATCATCATCATCATCATCATCATCATCATCACCTTCTCCATCATTTCATCATCATCATTGTCATCATCATCATCATCATTTCATCATCCATTGATCATCATCATCATCATCATCATCATCATCATCATCATCATTGATCATCATCATCATCATCATCATCATCATCATCATCATCATCATAATTTCATCATCATCATCATAATCATCATCCATTGATCACCATCATCGTCATCATCATCATCATCATCATCATCATCATCATCATCATCATCATCATCATCATCATCATCATCATCATCATCATCATCATCATCATCATCATCATTTTATCATCGATTGATCATCATCTTCATCATCATCATCATCATCATCATCATCATCATCATCATCATCATCATCATCATCATCATCAAGACACTGTGATAAAGTATCATCAACATCACTAAGATGTAACATCTACACAGTATTTCCACACACATACACACACACATGCACACCCTCACAAACATATTACAACTTAAAAAGAGAGACAGCAAAAAAAAGATACTAGAAATCAGAAGGGGAAGGAGGGAGGGAGAGGGGGAGAGAGAGAAAGAAAGAAACAGAGAGAGAGAGGGAGATGAATGGACAGGAGATCAGACATCCATTTTAATAATTAGTATGCTGGCTTAAATTATTAACAATATGGTATAGGATAAACTGCAGGAGCTCAAGATGGGACAAATAATATTCATATATACATTGTATTACACATAGATAATATGTAAATATTTTAATACATAGATTAATGATAACAGAAATTGTCACACTTGGTTAAAATAGTAAAAGTAAAAAAAAAAAATTAACTATCTGATAATTCAATAAGTTTTTCCATTTACTCCATTCATTTTTACATTTCAGCTGTGCACCTTCACCTTTACTTTTGGCAATGTGTTTTTGAAAAATGTAATGGTCTTTAATTGTATTAATTAAAGCATATATACTTAAAACTTTATGTAAACATCTTGTTTTGTAAATATAAAACTTAATAATAATCAATATTTCATTGTCTAGTCTGTTTATTGTTGAACATCTATTATTTAAAAATACACCAAAAAGGTAGCTTTGTTTATTATACTGAAATGGGATATACAGTGCATCAAAGAGTGTCTGCACACTTTGCAAAAATCTCTGAGTTTCTCTGCATTCCCATAAAATATGAATTATAGTCTCTCTTTCTAGGTTACATAAACTACATATTGGGTTATTTACTAATCCTATTTTAAATAAAAACGAATTTGTTGTTAAAATATTCTGAACAATCCTATATTGAAACCATTGTAATTTTGTGTTTTCAGTGGCCTTGAAAGGATTGTAATATATATTTATCCAATCTAATTCAAAATCTTCAAATAATTCTTCCCATTTTCTCCTAGCAATTGAGATAAGATCATTTTTGACCATAATATTATAAAAATTCTTTGTCCCTTTATCATTTTCCATAAAAAGTAATATATTATTAGGGATAATTGGATAAATTAACAACTGGTTCTCGACATTCAGCCTCCTGTTTTGACAGCTGATATTACACCCTGATATTGTTTTGACAGCTGATATTACACCCTGATATTGTTTTGACAGCTGATATTTACACCCTGATATTGTTTTGACAGCTGATATTACACCCTGATATTGTTTTGACAGCTGATATTACACCCTGATATTGTTTTGACAGCTGATATTACACCCTGATATTGTTTTGACAGCTGATATTACACCCTGATATTGTTTTGACAGCTGATATTACACCCTGATATTGTTTTGACAGCTGATATTACACCCTGATATTGTTTTGACAGCTGATATTACACCCTGATATTGTTTTGACAGCTGATATTGTTTTGACACCCTGATATTGTTTTGACAGCTGATATTACACCCTGATATTGTTTTGACAGCTGATATTACACCCTGATATTGTTTTGACAGCTGATATTACACCCTGATATTGTTTTGACAGCTGATATTACACCCTGATATTGAAGGAAGTTTACGTTGATATGATACTTCTCTGAAATGTATAGAAAGTGACTGTACCAGAATCTTTTACTAAATCATTAATTATGGTTACACCTCTATCATACCAGGACTTGTAAAAAACTGTTTTTCCTCCAATAGATTTCACTGTTATTATGGCAAAAAACCGAAGTCTGAAATGGAATCTAGCTTTTATCTATATATCAACAGGAAGTCTTTTTAAAAGATTCTGATATCAATCATGTTCACTTAGTTATATCATGATGCACTGGAACAAGCCAAGCGGCAATTTCATTGTACCAAACTCAGCCTACATGTTTCACTGAAGATACTGGAATCAGGCCAAGGTGTTCTGAGTGTATCAATGTGATGTTATAGGTACATCTCTTTACAGTGTAATTAAATGTTACAACATTTTGTAAGCATGATCAGTCTTGGTTATCAACATGTATGTTCATTTTAAATCATAGCTTACAGTTAACACTTTGGGCTCACCCTAGCTGTTGGCATATTTGTAATAAATGAGTTTGTTTTGTCAATTGCTATAATCTCTTTTCTCCAACCTGCAATGATGTGAAAGCCTTTATACCCATTTGGAGTGTTCTTGGAATGGAACAAACCCATTAATGCCTCATGTTTAATATCAGAAACATTTTGCTTTATTTTCCGTTAAGTACCTAGCAAAGTGATATATATTTTTAATGCTATTTTTTCTCAATTGACCTCCAAGGAAAGATCCAAACGAGATCTTCAAATATAGAATTCCTTTAGAAACTCTTACTTACACACTTAATCATGCACAAGAATAAGTACATTTTGTATTTGAAATTCTTGGCTGCACTTTTTCTGAAATAATGTGTGAATTAGGAAGTGGTTCATCAACAGTAGCATCTTGTCAAATGTAAAATTAGAACTTGTCTCAAAATATTTCAATCTCTTTAACTGTCTTCTTTGTGAAGATGCTGGTAGAAAATCTTTTCATAATCAACATTCATTTTTATAACACATCAAATATTCAAGTCAAAATGACAGAAATGTACACACAGAAATGTACACACAGACTTTTTTGATATTTCGATATTGTCTGCGACAGCATGTTGATTTAGACCGGTGGTTTATAAAATTGGAAATATACTAATAAATAGTAATTATGGGTATTTATGACATTTTCAAAATATTAAAACAAAAAGGTCAACATCTGAGTATGAAAGAAAAAAGTACCATTCAAAGTAATTAGACATATAGTTTGTCAATCCAAAGGGAGATAACTCCATTGATTTAGCGAGATTATTATGATGTCATAGGTGTTGAAAAGAGTGTGACTGACATAAGAAGATTATAATTATACCTCTATATAAATATAAGTACTATTGCCTTCTTGCCAGTATAAGTACATCATATTATTGTAAACCAGAAAAGAGCAGGAATTATGTTATACACTGATAAAACAAAGACATCATCAAAAAAACACAGTATCCAATTCAAACACCCAACAATTGATATCGCACAGTTTTTATCTTGTAAAACTTTTTGGAAATTGTTACAAATTTGCCTTAATTTTATTTAAATGAAAATTGTGATTATCTTTTGTAGAAGACCACTCAGCTGAAAGAAATGCTGAATTCAAATGAATTGGAATTTATTATGGAGGCACATAATGGTCTCAGTGCCAGGATAGTTGAGGAGGCAGGTAATTATAGATTGTATAAACTGGGAGGAACTAATATAACTACAGAGTGAACATCAGGAAAAGAGAGGAACACTTGCCATTGTACTTCAGCGAAACTAAGACTTAAATACTAAAAAGGATTTGTGTGGACACTGACTCTTCATATATGGCTGTCCATTCTTCATTGATTACATACATTTAATACAGTGTCTATTTTGCAAGAAAGCAGTGTCGGGTAATAAGCCCACCCCAAACAATTTTGTTTCATAAAATTATAAACAAATGCTACACATATTTTATTGTTAGAATAAAGAAATGTATACACCAATGCTACACATATTTAATTGCTCAGTAATAAGCCCATCCCAAAATCTTTCTTTTAAACCAATGCTTCACAAATTTCATTGTTCTTTAATAAGCCAACCTGAAAATATTTCTGTTAAACCAATGCTACACATATTTCATTGTTCTGTAATAAGCCCACCCAAAAATATTTGTTAGACCATTGCTACACAAATTTCATTGTTCTTTAATAAGCCAACCTGAAAATATTTCTGTTAAACCAATGCTACACAGATTTCCTTGTTCTGTAATAAGCCCACCCAAAAATATTTCTTTTAGACCAATGCTTCTCATGTTTCTTCATTCTTAATAAGCCCATCCTAATAAGCCCCTTAAATATTTCTGCGAAATCAAAATTATAAACCAGTGCTACATATTTCATTGCTCTGTAATAAGCCCACCCCAAAATATTTCTTTTAGACAAATGCTACACATATTTAATTTAAACAATTGTGTCTGTGACAGGATTTAAAGGTATCTGGGGAAGTGGGTTATCTGTGTCTGCACAGCTCGGTGTCCGTGACAGTAATGAGGCATCTTGGACACAAGTCGTAGAGGTCATGGAGTTCATGAGTGATGCAACAAATGTACCAATCCTGATGGATGCTGACACTGGCTATGGAAATTTCAATAATGCACGGAGATTGGTCCGTAAATTAGAAGACCGTGGCGTTGCTGGTAAATGTATACTGGACACTACATACCTAGAATTGACTTTCTATTTGTTTTGATGCATGCATTATTTTTTAATCATTTCATCACCTGAATAAAGGCCCATAAGGTTCCAATCTCTCTGTGGCTATTTCTAGCTTTCGATTCTTGTGCCAATTTGTGGAAGCTTCCCATCTGAAACATTGCTCAAATACTGAATTTGAGATCTTATTTATCTTGTACTTACCATTTATATAATGCCTTTGTACTAATTACTGGTATTTATTCCTGAAATCAGATATGAAGCAAATTCAATACATTTTGTTTTGCCTTTTTATAGAAAAATTGAGGAAAATTAAAAATAGATTATTAAAGCTTACAATTCCTTAAGTCAAGTTTATTAAATTCAGTTTAATGTCTGACTTTTCTGTAAATCATATGATTTGAAATAAAGCTGTTTCTTTACTTCCTCAGGAGCCTGTATAGAAGACAAGCTATTTCCTAAGACAAACTCACTCCATGATGGAAGGGCACAGCCTCTAGCTGATATTGAAGAGTTCTGTTTAAAGATCAAGGTTTGACCTTTAGTATTTACCAAATTTGAAAAAAAAGTATTTACCAAATTTGAAAAAAAAAAAGTATTTACCAAATTTGAAAAAAAAGTTTATGAATTAATTTCTATTTGTTTAATATATATCCTGGTAAATATGTATGCCACATCAATGTAAGACACGAGGACTATACCAGTAAAACATCTGTTCCATCCCTGAACTCCAGATTTTGGTTAGGTGTAAGGGTTATTTCAGTAAAACATCTTTTCCATCCCAGGACTCCAGGTATAGGTTAGATGTAAGGACTATTTCAGTTAAACATGTTTTCTATCCCATGACTCCAGGTTTTAGTTAGATGTAAGGACTATTTCAGTTAAACATCTTTTCTATCCCAGGACTCCAGGTTTTAGTTAGGTGTAAGGACTATACCAGTAAAACATCTTTTCCATTCCAGGACTCCAGGTTTTAGTTAGGTGTAAGGACTATTTCAGTTAAACATCTTTTCTATCCCATGACTCCAGGTTTTAGTTAGGTGTAAGGACTATTTCAGTAAAACATATTTTCCATTCTAGGACTCCAGGTTTTAATCAGGTGTAAGGGTTATTTCAGTAAAACATCTTTTCCATCCCAGGACTCCAGGTATAGGTTAGATGTAAGGACTATTTCAGTTAAACATCTTTTCTATCCCATGACTCCAGGTTTTAGTTAGGTGTAAGGACTATTTCAGTTAAACATCTTTTCTATCCCATGACTCCAGGTTTTAGTTAGGTGTAAGGACTATACCAGTAAAACATATTTTCCATTCCAGGACTCCAGGTTTTAGTCAGGTGTAAGGGATATTTCAGTAAAACATCTTTTCCATTCCAGGACTCCAGGTTTTAGTTAGGTGTAAGGACTATTTCAGTTAAACATCTTTTCTATCCCAGGACTCCGTAGCCCTTTCAAATCAAGAATGGAATGGTGTTTTAAAGGGTTATCTTGGAAAATACCTTATAATGAATTCTTTGTATTTTGATCACATCTGTATGTATTCAGATAAGTCCAATTTTATGTGTGAATGTTATAGGACTATTAGGTATATAAGATCCAGAAATTGAAACTTTTAAAGGCAAATATCAGATTGACCTCAAAAAATTTGTCAGCTGATGGTAAAGAACAAAATGCAATGATATGCATTATTCTGTGAATTTCAGGATATCAGTTAAATTCTTTGATGATGTTGAGTAAATAAATCTTGAAATCAAAATTATGTAGGATTCAATGAATAATAATAGATAAGCATTTTATTTAAAAGGCCTGTAAAGACACACAGACAGACCCTGACTTTTGTATCGTGGCTCGTGTTGAAGCGTTCATTGCTGGATGGGGGCTTGATGAAGCCCTGATGCGGGCTGAGGCATATAGAAAGGCTGGTAAGTTTCAAGTAAATGAGATACAACGTAGAGACGATAAACAGAGGAAACAAAAACACCAAAGAATTTTATACTTGATGAAAGAAAATACATGTATTCATTTCAGTTTTTCAATATGCTAGATTTGGTGTTTGAGATTCCTAAGACTGAGAAATGAAATTCATTTTGTGAAAAATGACTTGTAATATGATCAGAATATGAAGTTGTAAAATCAACTTTAATATAAGGTAATTCAATTTAACTAACCACATGGACATGTGTGATTCAGATTTTGAACTTCCAGATAAACTGATAAAAAAAAATGTGGAAAGTATTGAAGAATTGAGTTCCCAGATTAATTATCAAGATTTATTGTGTATTTTCTTTACAGGAGCTGACGCAATTTTGATGCACAGTAAAAAGTCAGATCCATCCGATATTGAAGCATTTATGAAGGCTTGGAACAATCAGGTATGTTTTATATCTCAAATCAGATTTCAGTTATATATGGGGCATTGATGAATCGCCTACCCACACGATACATTATATATAAAATCTGTCCTAATGTTTTTATTTTTGTTTTTTAAGATTTATGAATACATCATCATCATCATCATCATCATCTCATCACCATTTGCTGACAGATGTATATATTTATTTATAAAACCTCAAACTTAACTTTATTAATTTAATAAAACACACTTGTACACAAAGAAACAGAACATAGAACCCTAATCAAATATATTAGAAACAAATAACTACTACCATTGAGAGAGATAGGGAAAAAGAGAGTGAGTGGGGTAGGGGGGAGAGAGTGGGGGAGAGAGAGAGATAGTGGGGGGAGAGAGTGAGGGAGAGAGGGAGAGAAAGAGTGGCAGAGAGAGTAGGAGAGAGTGTAGGAGAGACAGAGAGAGAGACAGAGAGAGTTTGATGGAATGATATGAAAGAGTGATAACAAAAAGAAACTATATGGAGCAGAACTTCATGTAAAATTGGCCTGATATATCATGTCCTGTGGAATAAAAAATACACAAAACAATCAGAAAACAAAACATTACTTTATAACAACTACCCATTTCTTCCATTCATACGCGGATGATTCTCTAGCACTATCCCAGGTACTAATTGCTATATAATTATGAATATTATAATGGTCTTTTATTGTGTAAATTGAAGGGTTGGGCCAGCCCCTGTGTGTAATTGTAGCTTTGTCACCATGTATTTACTGTCAACTGATTAACACATCAAGGAAAATTCACACTAACAATTTCTTGAAGTGGTATGTTGTCATCAAGATTGAATTTAAGGTTTAATTTCTGGTGGTGCTGGATGCCCCAAGTAAAACTTAAAAACAAGAATGTGTTCTATTTTAGGGCCCAGTGGTAATAGTACCAACAAAGTACTACACAACTCCAACACAGAAGTTCAGAGATATGGGCGTTTCCATGGTGATATGGGCCAACCATAACTTGAGGGCAGCAGTATCAGCCATGCAACAGACAACAGCTCAGATCTATAAAGATCAGTCCCTGGAAAATGTGGAGAAAAAGGTGAGTACAACACCTTTTTATTCTGCTTACATTGCAGCCTGTTCATGAATGGATTGGGGAGATATTACTTCAACATTGGGAATATATAAGATATTGTCATCCATATTTTGACACATCTGTATTTTAAGTAAGAGAACTTTATCTCTGCTTTATCTCGGCTTTATCTCAGCTTTATCTCAGCTTTATTACCGACAAGTAAAAAAATTCCTTTCAAAAGGGGCCACTATTGGTTTTAACTCTAATCTAAGAAATTTGCTTATGTAAAATTAAGAGTGGCGTTGAATATCTAACATTGTATGTAAATGTATATAGCTTTTTTCAGATATATCTACCATACAGGCATGTGAAAAAAGAAAGGCTTGGTTCAAATCAGATTTACTGTTAGTTAATTTTCACAAGGATATGTTTGTGTTGTGTTTATAATTTCGTTCCATGTTTAATTGATTTTTTTAATTTAAAGTAATTTTTTCCTTTAATATCCATAGTGTTCTATGTATTTGAACAGATTGTGACAGTGAAGGAAGTGTTCCGACTCCAACAGGATGACGAATTGGTGCAGGCAGAAAACAAGTACCTCCCACAGAAGTGAAAGCCATGCCCACTTCTGACCACATCATCTACAGATCACATCCACTTCAAATTTAGGTCACACCAACTTACCCATAAGACCACACCCACCTACCACTAAGACCACACCTACCTACCGGTGAGACCACACCCACATACCAGTAAGACCACACCTACCTATCGGTGAGACCACACCCACATACCAGTAAGACCACACCTACATACCAGTAAAACCACACCTACATACCAGAGAGACCACACCCACATACCAGTGAGACCACACCTACATACCAGTGAGACCACACCTACCTTCCAATGAGACAGCATCTACCTACCAGTAAGGCCACACCAAATTTCTATTGATCCTACACCTACTTCATATCACAACCAATTTAGATTACATATTCTTCATTTGAAATCATTACTTTTGCTGTTTAGTTTTATATTTTGTTCTTTAAGTAAAATGTCACAAAACTTTTTTGATCTGCCCATGTTCAATATAAAACTCTATGTGTTTTGTTGATATAATTTGTACAATTCTATTACTTGTTATTCAGAATGATGTTTTTTTCTAGTATAAAGAGTGAAGGATAATACTTTTTTTTAAACCTGTGAATTGACTTCAAATACATCAAAATGAAATTTGGCATATGGCTTTTTGTTGCAAGGGTACAAATTAAGTTTGATTTCCGGCAGTATGTGACCCTTTTTGGCAGAGTTATGCCCCTTTAAACATAGAAAATTTCCTGGGAATATTGTTTTCAGGACTTTTTTGGCTTATGCTTCGAGTTATCAAAATGAAATTTGGTATATGGCTTCTTGTTGCAAGGGTTTAGATTAAGTTTTATTCCCGGCTGTCTGTGATCCTTTTTAGCAGAGTTATGCCCCTTTCAACTTAGAAAATTTCTCAGAAATATTGCTTTGCACAGTTTTCCCTTTATGCTTCAAGTTATAGAAATGAAATTTGGTATTACAACTTTATGGTTGATTGTTGCACATCCAGTTCGATTTCTGGGTGACCGTGACACTTTATGCAGGCGACACATACAGTTCCAAGGAACTCTTGTAAATGGTTGTACTGATTTCAGATACGTTTTCTACATGCCAATTTCTCACATGAATGCGCCCAGTATGCAGTTGAGTATATGATTCAAATAAACGTAATTGGAATATATGTGATTGTACTCAGATCAAACAACTCTTACACTATGAGCTAATGGGTTGCAGAACAAGTGAACTATACATGATTCAATGCTATTTTAGTGAGCTGAGTTTATAATACAAGTGCACTGTGAGTGGAGATGGAATGCAATTATAGTTAATGATGTGCCATTGATTGTGATTCAAGTGAACTGTGCGATAGTCATGAATGCAATTTAATTGATCTTTAACTATGTGCAGGAAAAAACAGTTCAAGTAAATTTTTGCTGTTGAATTCTACTCAATTGTGTTTTGAATGAAGTTAGAATTAAACTACTTGGGATATATGTCACCATTTTGTTTAAGTGCTGCTTTTTTGTCACTGTTAATATTAATATATTAAGTGTAGATGTAGTTATTATTAAAAGATGGTAACAAATGCTGTATATGTGTGCCTTCATATACATTGTATAATGAATGGAGATATCTTCGCCTTGTCAGACTTACCAAACTGACTCCAATTTGGTCTGTTCCAAGACAATCACACTCTCTCCTTTGTCATAAAATAGTAAATTTAGTATTTTTTTCAGGAATCTCAACTCTTTTTTTCGTTCCCAGAGCAATTTACACTCTCCTTTGTCGGTATGTACAAGACCTGAGGGAAGGAAGCATTACAGCCAACTTTTATGAAAATTTTTAATGAATATTTCAAGCATGACTTACACAAATCATTTAAGTCCCCTTATGCTTAATCAAGGCTGGTAGAAGATTAAAAATCAAATAAGATGTATGACAGTAGCTTTGTCCATCTTTCATTTGTTCATGTGAAAAATAACAAATCTTGGTTTAACCTCGTCAGTGAAATCTGCTTGGATGTCTCATTGTTTTTTCATAAATGCTCATAATTAAAGATCTAGTTTTACACTTCGTGTTTTGAATCTCCACTTATATAAGGATTAAAGAATTAATATTTTTTAATTGTTCTTTCTTATCCTGTTTTCTTAATTTTTTTCTTTTTTATTTTTTTGAAAACTTTAGAAAAATACTTGAAAAGTCATTTATTATTATTGAAGATATATTTTATCTCTGTTTTATTCCTTGCCATGAAAAAGATCTGAAACATAATAGGTTTGTACATTTATGTATTGTTTTGTTGTTTACTTTCCATGACGGTGAACAGATACAATTTAAATTTTGGTGGAATTTCCATTTCTACAATCCTTGATTTTTTGTATTTTGTTGTTGTCGTTTGTGAACTCTTTTGTTATATTTGATATACATATATGTATTTGTGTTACTTATATATTTTGACATCAAGATCTGACATAAAACAAGATATTGTATGTGTCATAGGTTTAAGTATTATTTTTGTTCCCTTTCTTGGTCCTCAACATATAGTGCTACCTTTGTCATAACTTGAATTCTGCTTACAATTTAACATATACTGATGTAAAACTGAATTTGATATGTATTTGTCTGATGATAATATACAGCTCTGGCTCATATTTGGTCAATTCAATTTTTCCTGAATTATGGCCGTTAAACTTTTAAATAATTTGTTTTGTAAAACAGTAAGTCCAATATTGATTGGAGAGCCTTGCCAAATTCTGGATCCGGTAGATAAAAATTGCACAGAGAGAATTTATTTTCATGAATCAGGAGTCAACCGCATAACAAAGCCCTCAGTAACTGAAAAATAGTATCGGTGAAACTGATGATTGCTCTCCGAAACAACGGACAAACGAACAAATAGACCGACAAACTACTCTCTCGTCTCGGGGACAGCAAGCAGAGATCAATTAAATCTGCCACAAATATTACCAGTTGTACAGTATCTTAGTGCAATTGTTAACATGTAACTCTAAAAGCTCCAATCACTTCTCTTAACAAACATCGGATTAACCATCCAATGCAGGGACATTTTCTTCCAAGGCTTGCAAATAAGTTATAATGATTTGGAAATTAAAGATGGTGCTGATAGATATTTTTGTGTATTTCATACTTATGTCATATCTGTGTGTATTACTATTATCTAGTACCATTCTCTTTCGTGAAATAATGGGTACCAGTAAAAGTAAGAAAGTACAATGTACATATTGAGTGAGATTAATCGACAACATCAATTTAATATTAAAATTAGACTTTCATTTTGATATAATTTGTCAGTTCTAGGTTTAACCATAGTTATCTCTCCTTGTCCTTATAAGTACTTCTGACCAGCGTTGTATTTTTGTTGATGTTCATCCTGACTTTGTGTGTTCAAAACAAGCTTGTTTATTTCTATGTCTTTTACCATATATATGAACAAAAAAAAACAAAAACAAAATTCTTAATGTCTTCCTTCTGATGTAGAGGACTTCAAGAAAAATTTTCTGGATCAAAGGATACAAACTTAACTAACTTGTAAACGAATTGGATTTGAAAAAAAATAATCTTATCACTGTATGAATATAAACATGTACCATACTCTAAGATACTTTCACGAGATTGAGGAATATCTACTTGCATATTGGGTATTGATTTCAAGTACTTTTACTGTTCATATAACAAATGGTTGTAATTATTATTTATCATAGTTAATAAACAATGGTACATGTATGTATATTTACAGGTCACATTTCATGTATGTATATTGAACAAGTCTTTTTATCTTTTCCAATATTTGAAAGCCAACATTGACAAATACTGGATAATTATACATATTCACTTTTGTTCAGTTTTGGATCAGGATATACTACATACAAAATGTGTGTGAAAGTTACTTTGTTCCTTTTAGAAATACTTACATCAAAATCCTTTAAATTAATCATACATATTTGCTTTTTGAAAAAATTTTGTCGACAATATATATTTATATTGTTATGTTGGTAAACACAAATATACAACCATAACATCTTTTAACGTGGGATAATGTTTTCATTGACTCTTACTTTAGATATAGTGGTAAATCTATAGAATTGTTTTTGCTTTTGTTTTGGGTCTGTTGCATAGTCTGTGGTGTTTTAAACAGCTTTTATATATGTTCTTTTGTAGCTAGAAATGTGTTTAAATTTGTGCCTCTAGTTGGACATATTTGTCATCGTGTTTATTTGGCAATAGTCAAGAGATAACAGCATCACCAACTCACCGGCCACGAGACGGACCTGTTTAAATTGTGTAAAATTATATAATTACCTGATATTTCTTTATTTAGAAAAAAAACCAAAATCAATTTTACAAAAAAGAATTCTCAACCATAACATAAAGCATCATAAAATACAAGAAAATGTGATAACTATACAATAGAAATGATTATAAGGTCTTTTTCCTTGATGATCATTTAAATCACCCTGTCCTCAGGACTCTAAATTTATTTATCTACATATTTTGTGTATTATTATGTTTTGTTCAGTACCTTTTTTGGTATTTTGAGAATTGTGTTGATGCATGGATAATTATAGAAGTATGGAGGAGAATGTACCAGACATTTCAGTGTCTGTTTTCCACCAACATTCACGTATTGATTTCATTAATTTAATCTGGGTCAGAATAAAGGTATTTGGGAACAAATGGTTTTCTTTTTTCTTTTCATTTTTTTTTTATCTTTGTGTTAGAACAAGTGCCTTAATTTTCTTCTGGTACTACTTTCCTGGCCTGTTCATATATAGACCACTGGCGAAAATCTTATGTATAGTCCAACAGGAAGGCAGGAACTTTTGTATAGACCATCAGGAAGACTGGATCTTTTGTAAAGACCAACAGGAATGCATTATCTTTTGTATAGAGCATCAGGAAGGCAGGATCTTTTGTATAGACCACCAGGAAGACAGGATCTTTTGTATAAAACATCAGGATAGCAGGATCTTTTGTATAGAACATCAGGAATGCAGGATCTTTTGTATAGAACATCAGGATAGCAGGATCTTTTGTATAGAACATCAGGAATGCAGGATCATTTGTATAGAACATCAGGAATGCAGGATCTTTTGTATAGAACATCAGGAAGGCAGGATCTTTTGTATAGAACATCAGGAAGGCAGGATCTTTTGTATAGAACATCAGGAATGCAGGATCTTTTGTATAGAACATCAGGATAGCAGGATCTTTTGTATAGAACATCAGGAAGGCAGGATCTTTTGTATAGAACATCAGGATAGCAGGATCTTTTGTATAGAACATCAGGAAGGCAGGATCTTTTGTATAGAACATCAGGAAGGCAGGATCTTTTGTATAGAACATCAGGATAGCAGGATCTTTTGTATAGAACATCAGGATAGCAGGATCTTTTGTACAGACCAACAGGAAGGCAGGATCTTTTGTATAGAACATCAGGAAGGCAGGATCTTTTGTATAGAACATCAGGAATGCAGGATCTTTTGTATAGAACATCAGAATAGCAGGATCTTT